TGCTTTATGTGCTCTTTCCGAACCCTACCAGTGATGGAATTGGGCCAAACTTCCCACACAGAATCCCCAAGACCAACAGAAAATACTGGAGGGATTTGGGATGAATTGACAGTGAGTTAGGGGAGATACCTGTGGCACAGTGGGTTAAAGCACTGAGCTGCTGAGCTTGTTGATCGGAAGGTCGCAGGTTCGATTCCGGGGAGCGGCGTGAGCTTCCGCTGTCAGCCCTAGCTTCTGCCAACCTAGCAGTTCGAAAACATGCAAATGTGAGTAGATCAATAGGTACCGCTCCGGCGGGAAGGTAACAGCGCTCCATGCAGTCATGCCGACCACATGACCTTGGAGGTGTCTACAGACAACGCTGGCTCTTCGGCTTAGAAATGGAGATGAGCACCACACCCCAGAGTCAGACATGACTGGACTTAATGTCAGGGGACTACCTTTACCTTTACCTTAGGGGAGATGTAGTTCACCTACATCCAGAGAGCACTGTGAACCCAAATGGCTATTCCAAAGGGATTCCTAAGAATATAGAAATGTTTTCTGATGGTGTTTGGTGACCCCTCTGAAGCCCCCTCACGACCCCCCCTAGGGGTTGCGACCCCCAGGTTGAGAAACACTCCCTTAGCATGTCAAACTGCATTAATTCCACAATGTAGACACATCTCGATTCATATCTGGTAAGCAATCAGGGTTCGATTCTCTGCTTTGCCATGGAAAACCAGTGGGTAACCTTGAGCGAGCCACAAACTCTCAAGTCTCAAGGGGAAAAAAAATTATGTAATATTTTTGCCTTAGGGTCGCACAAAACATCATCCTACAAGGAGAAGCTCTCACACATCAACAGTCTTTCATTGGATTCCGTCTTCGTTTCCCAGCCGCGTGGGGCCTGTTTTATTTTCCCCATAAAGGTAGCTAAGCTTCTGAAGTAAATACTAATTAAGAGTTCCCCGTTTGCAAAGAGAGCTTCAGGGCAAAGGAAAAACTAAACAAAAGGAGCGCAAGCCAGCCTTCAAAAGACATCCCTGGCTCAGGCATTCGTTAATTAAATTAATTTCCAAGTTAAGTATACCCAACTCCTCATAGGGCTCAATGGCTTCCAGACCTTGGAGCATTTTGGTGGCCATTCTCTGGACACTTTCCATCTTGTCCATCTCCTTGAATGGCTTTGCCCAGAATTGGACCCAGGCCTACTATTCCAGGTGAAAAAAACTGAACAAAACAGAAGAGATTGGGATAAGTAGCTCTTGATCCAAACTCTAGAAGCATGGACATAGTACTCTTCGTTGGATGGACATCTGTTGAGTGTGCTTTGATTGTGCTTTCCTTGCATAGCAGGGTGTTGAACTGGATGGGCCATGTAGTGGATTCCAATTCTATTTACTACTACTACTACTACTACTACTCATCATCATCATCATCAAGCAGAAGCTGGTTGGTCATCTGTTGGGACTGCTTTGACTGTGTTTTTCCTACATGGCAGGGGGTTGGACTGGAAGGTCCATGCAGTGTCTTCCAATTCTATTTATTACTACTACCACCACCACCACCACTAATAATAATAATAATCATCATCATCATCATCAAGGAGAAGCTGGTTGGTCATCTGTTGGGACTGCTCTGACTGTGTTTTCCTACATGGAAGGGGGTTGGACTGGATGGTCCATGTAGTGTCTTCCAATTCTATTTATTACTACTACTACCATCACCACCACCACTACTAATAATAATAATAATAATAATCGTCATCATCATTAAGCAGAAGCTGGATGGTCATCTGCTGGGACTGCTTTGACCGTGTTTTTCCTACATGGCAGGGTGTTGGACTGGATGGCCCATGCAGTGTGTTCCAATTTTATTTACTACTACTACTACTACTACTAATCATCATCATCATCATCATCATCATCATCATCATCATCACTAAGCAGAAGCTGGATGGTCATTTCCTTTCTTTCCCTTCCCTTTTTTCCCTTTCCTTCTTCCTTTCTTTCCCTTTCCCTTCCTTTCTTCCTTTCTTTCTTCCTTCCTTCATTTCCCTTCCTTCCTTCCTTCCTTCCTTTCTTTTTTTCCCTCTTCTTTCCTTTCCTTTCTCCCTTTTCCCCTTTCCTCTCCTTTCTTTCCCTTTTCTTCTTTTTCCCTTCCCTTTCCTTTCCATTCCTTTCTTTCCTTTCCTTTCCTTTCCCCTTCCTTTTTCCCTTTCCTTTCCATTCCTTTCTTTCCCTTTTTTCTTCCTTCCTTTCCCTTCCCTTTCTTTCTTCTCTTTCCTTCCTTCCTTTCCTCCTTTCTTTCCCTTTTCTTCCTTCCTTTCCTTTCCCTTCCTTTCCTTCATTCCTTCCTTTTCCCCCCTTTCTCTTTCCTTTTTCCCTTTCCTTTCCTCTCCATTCCTTTCTTTCCTTTTCCCCTTCCTTCTTTCCTTCCCTCCTTCTTTCCCTTTCTTCATCCTTTCCATTCCTTTCTTTCCCTTTCCTTCCTTCCTTCCTTTCCCTTCTTCCTTCCTTCCCATTCCCTTTCCTTTCTTTCTCTTCCCTTCCCTTCCCTTTCTTTCTCTTTTCTATCCCTTCCATTCCTTTCTTTCCCTCTCCTTCCTTTCTTTCCCTTCCCTTTCCATTCCATTTCTTTCCTTTCCTTTCCCCCCCTTTTCCTTTCTTTCTCTTTCCTTTCCATTCCTTTCTTTCCCTTTTCTTCCTTTCTTTTCCTTCCCTTTCTTTCCCTTTCCTTTCCATTCCTTTCTTTCCCTTTTCTTCCTTCCTTCCTTTCCCTTCCCTTTACTTCCTTTCCTTTCCTTTTCCCCCTTTCCTTTCTTTCCCTTTCCTTTCCTCCCATTCCTTTCTTTCCATTTTCTCCCTTCCTTTCTTTCCCTTCCCTTCCTTCCTTTTCCCTTTCCTTCCTTTCCCTTCCTTTCTTTCCTTCCTTCCTCCTTTCTTTCCCTTTCTTTCTCCTTTCTTTCCTTCCTTTCCTTTCTTCTCTTTCCTTCCCTTCCTTCTTCTCTTCCTTTCTTCCCTTCCATTCCTTTCTTTCCCTCTCCTTCCTTTCTTTCCCTTCCCTTTCCATTCCATTTCTTTCCTTTCCTTTCCCCCCCTTTTCCTTTCTTTCTCTTTCCTTTCCATTCCTTTCTTTCCCTTTTCTTCCTTTCTTTTCCTTCCCTTTCTTTCCCTTTCCGTTTCCATTCCTTTCTTTCCCTTTCCTTCCTTCCTTCCTTTCCCTTCCCTTCCCTTTCCATTCCTTTCCGTTCCCTTTCTTTTCCCTTTCTTGCCCTTTCCATTCCTTTCCTTCCTTTCCCTTTCCTTCCATTCTCTTTCCTTTCCTTTCTTTTCCTTCCTTCCTTCCTTTCCATTTCAATTCTTTTCTTTTCTCTTCTTTCCTTTCTTTTCCTTTCCTTTTTCCTTTCTTTTCCTTTCCTTTCTTTTCCTTTCCTTTCCATTCCTTCTCCCCCCCCCCTTTCCTTTCATTTCCTTTCCTTTCTTTCCCTTCCCTTCCCTTTCCTAACACGCTTTGGATCCCAAACAAAAGGAAAACGATGATTGCAAAAAAGATCGCCTCTTGCCCTTGCCTTCGCTGCCACCCACACGGCAAACATCTATTTCTTTTGGCTCCACAAAGAGGAAAAAACAGCATTTCGGAGGTTTTGAAATAACATTCCTATGGCCAGACCTCCAATCTGGGACTTAGCTCTATTTCTTCCCCCAAATAATTTCCTTGTACCGATGTAGAAGAGTTCTCTTCTCTCCTCACAAGCAAGGCCTCTGTATCACACACTTCAATCGGCTTGCTATCATTCCTCTTTAGAGGTATTTTGTATTTATCTGTGAAGTAATCAAAACCAAAAGTAGCCGAGGGAAATTAGAGCTTGGCTTTGGAGTATAAGTCAACCAATCATCATTGTAACTCCTCAGCAGATGGCAGTACTGGTATGCAGCAGGTACTGGCTTCTTCAGCAGACTCTCCTCTACAGTTCCATTTTGGCGGGAAGCCTTAGCATTGAATGGTTGTGTTGTTAAAGTGTGAAGTATGGAACCCCGCGCAGACGGTTGGTCAATGTGACTTAAGCAATGTGCAGCTATTGAATTCTTGACAGCAGAAGGTGTCACTTCAACATATTTAAACTTTCTCGCCCAACGACGCACAGTACTCACATCAACACAATCACCATAAACAACTTGCATTATCTGATGAATCTCCTTTGAGGATACACCTCCTCAAAACTCCACCAGTGTTCAGATTTGGGCATATTGAGTATATTCATGCAAAGGTCGGTCCAGATCCATCATTTTTTGAGTCCACAATGCTCTCTGGATGGAGGTGAACTACAACTCCAAAACTCAAGGTCAACGCCTATGAAAACCTTCCAGTATTTTCTGTTGGTCGTGGGAATTCTGTGTGCCAAGTTTGGTTCAGTTCCATTGTTGGTGGAGTTTGGAATGTTCTTTGACCAAACTCTCTACCCCGGAGTGTAGTGGAGGCTCCTCATTTGGAAGCTTTAAAACAGAAGCTGGATGGCCATCTGTCAGGGGTGATTTGAATGCAATATTCCTGGTTCTTGGCAGAATGGGGTTGGACTGGATGGCCCAGGAGGTCTCTTCCAACTCTTTGATTCTATGATTGTAGGTGAACTATAAATCCCAGCAACTACAAGGTCTATTTTCTTCAAACTCCACCAGTGTTCACATTTGGGCATATTGAGTATCCATGCCAAGTTTGGTCCAGATCCATCATTTTTTGAGTCCACAATGCTCTCTGGATGTAGCTGAACTACAACTCCCAAAGTCAATGCCCACCAGACCGTTCCAGTATTTCTGTTGGTCATGGGAGTTCTGTGTGCCAAGTTTGGTTCATTTCCATTATTGGTGGAGTTCGGAATGCTCTTTGATTGTNATCCAGGACTCTCTTTGGTGTAGTCCTAGGGCTCTCCCCTCTGGAGGGGCCCCCAAAAAGAGCTCGATATCAATTCCAAAAGCAACTCCTTCCTGGAGGTGACCCCAATGACAACTGAGACCTACCTCTGAGTCACTGCTGCTGGTGGGACTGCTTTCTCCAGAGGAGAGGGCCTGCTGCTGTTGTTTTCCTTGGAGCTCATCCCGTTCCTCCTGGATGATCTGCACCATCAGCTGGAAGGCAGCCTCCTGGGAACGGAGGGTGTAGGTCTGGAGCCCCAGCCGCTGCTTCTCCTTCTCTGCCATGTGCAGCCTGCCCTTTAGCTCCGCCAAGGCCCCCTGAAAAAGAACAACACAAGTGGGCACGCCCCTTTTAAAGCAAATCCATCTCAATTCTTTCCACCTATCCCCTAACACTTTTCAGGGACATGCCCCCTTTTATGCCAATCCCTCTCTCCTATCACCTGACCTTTCTGAGGGACATGCCCACTTTTATGCAAATTCATCTCTCCTATCACCTACCTGTCCTCAGGGACATGCCCCCTTTTATGCAAATCCATCTCTCCTATCACCTGACCCTTCTCAGGGACATGCCCCTTTTATGCAAATCCCTCTCTATTCCCTCCTATTACCTGATATTTCTCATGAACACGCCCCCTTTTATGCAAATCCTTCTCTTATCTCCTTCTATCCCCTGATATTTCTCATGAACATGCCCCCTTTTATTCAAATTTGTCTCTATTCCCTCCTTCTATTCCCTCCTTGCTAGACTGACACTCCTCCTCTCCCCTGACACTCCTCAGGGACACGCCCCCTTTTATGCCAATCCCTCTCCTCTCCTCCTCTCCCCTGACACTCCTCAGGGACACACCCCTTTTAATGCAAATCCATCTCTCTCCTCTCCTCCAATCCCCTGACACTACTCAGGGACATGCCAATCCCTCTCCTCTCCTCCTCTCCCCTGACACTCCTCAGGGACACACCCCTTTTAATGCAAACCCCTCTCTCTCCTCTCCTCTCCTCCAATCCCCTGACACTCCTCAGGGACATGCCCCCTTTTATTCAAATCTCACCCTGGCTGCCTGCAGCTCCTCCAGCAAATGTGCCTTCTCCATTATGTAGGATGCATTTCCGGAAGGGAGGGCCTCTTGCAGAGTTTTCCGTGCCTCTTCTGCCTCTCCGGCCTCGATCCCAGCACGGACCTTTGGGTGGTACGGAGGTAGCTTCAGGGCGCGCTGCTCACCTCTCAGGCGCTGGATGTAGGCCCTCAAGAGCCCCTTTCTATCCCCATTCTCCTCCGAAGGGCTGGGAAAAGAAAATGCACAAAGCAGGAAATAGCAGGTTAGAATACGCAAACAAAAACTCATAGGAAGCTATGTGAATGATTATCTCCTTTCCATGCCCTCCCTGAGCTGTGCATGGGGCTCAATGTCCCGCAAGGCAAGCCATTAACTCAAACAAAAAAACACTGCAGTCTTGATCAGTAGTTTGCAGAGATTTAGAGCTCTGACCTTGTTTGCTGTTCACCGCAATAAGGTGCTCGAGCTCTGGCTTGTCAGGTAGAAATAGCTGTAATAGCATGAACGTATTGTATGTTCCTCCGGTGTATGGAAAAATACAGTTCTTATAGACATGGGTTCACAACACAGTCCACTGAAAGGGTTAAGAGAATATAGATGTGATCCTAAAGCAGTGGTTCTCAACCTGTGGGTTCCCAGATGTTTTGACCTTCAACTCCCAGAAATCCTAACAGCTGGTAAACTGGCTGGAATTTCTAGGAGTTGTAGGCCAAAATGCCTATCCTAGAGGGACAGCTGAGTCATTTCTTGGAGGGAAGAATGGGATTGGCTTGTATGTGCACTTCCTCTTTGCCATGTGCTTACTCTCTGCCATCTTTGACTCCTTGCCATGATCTCTCTGCATCTGTAATCCATCGCCATCCTTGTTGTGTGAGGTTGTATCGCTGTATACTAAGAGAAGACCTGTAAATAATTATAAATAGCAACTGAATCTATATATATAAAAAGGGAAAGGGCGTTCAACGGGACAGCAAAACGCAAAACCCCCCTGACGAAAACTCACCAAATTTGCCGTGCACATACCTCAACCCACAAGGTATGCACAACACTCATCAAAATTCCAAACAACATTTCAACAAACTCACAATTACAAAAACCAACTGAGCATGCGCAGTGCCCAGGGGAGGAAGTACACAAGCAATGCACTCTGGGAACTGTAGTTCTAGAATGCGATTTACCCACTGACGCTGAAGCCCCGGCCTGGGAGTTGGAGCTCGGCCGGCTGTGCTCGCTGGGGGCCAGGATGC